GAGAGAAATTGGAGCTGATTTCGGGAGCACTGCAAAGATATAGGGATAATGCGAGGCGCAAGAATATTCAGCAATATGATGAGGTGTATCCCATGATGGTAGATTATTTTGAACAGGCCTTGAAGGCTATTCCATAATTATTCTGTGTAGTTTGTAAAATATTAAATAAATTATAATAAAAAATCACCAACACCTATCGCACAAAAATATTACTTAGGAAATCAACAAACAATATATCGATACATACAGACTATCCACATCCCTAGCGCACCATTTTGTTTGCAGCAGCGTGAAAAAAGTTGAATTTCTTCTTTAATCTATGAAAAATTGATTGTAAAAGTTGAATTGTGTTTTGATTATTGAACTTTAATAATTAAGAAAGATGGACAACATAGAGCGACTTTACAAATGCTACGAGATATTGTCCGAGGCGGGCGATAAGATTTCAGAGGTAAGCGGCGCGGGCCGCCATTGCGGAAAGACGCGGCACCACAACGGTAGTTGCCATGTAGAATGTACCGAAAAACAAATATGTTCTCTTTCAGCACGTGGATGAATATAAGGAAATACTGAAAGCTGTTAAAGGCTCTTCAAAGGAGAAGCGTTTGGCGTCGCAATTTATTGGCAACTTTTTCAAGCATTTCCCCGACTTGGCCGAAACAGCAATCGATGCACAGTTCGATCTTTGCGAAGACGATGATAACCAGGTTTGTGCGCGTATTTGTTCAACTCATTCAAAGATTACCTTCATATTGTTATGTTTCCAGATTCGCCGTCAGGCCATTAAAGATTTGCCCAAATTATGTCAAGGCAATCCGGAGGCTACTACACGAGTGGGCGACACACTCGCCCAGTTGCTGATACTGGACGATGCCACAGAGTTGCAGCAGGTGAATAATTCACTGCTTAGCATCATCAAAATGGACACAAAGAGCGCTGTAGCTGGTATTTTCCAACAAATCACCACGGGTGATGAGCCAACAAGAGAGCGCTGCTTCAAGTTTATTTCAACCAAGCTGTTGACTATGGGTCCTACTGTAATAACCAAGGAAATTGAAGAATACATCGTCGACGAGATCAAGAAGGCCCTGCAGGATGTCACAGCCGATGAATTTCATTTGTGCATGACCATTTTGGGTGCCACAAAACTGGGCAACACCATTACCGGACACGCTGAGCTGGTCAAGCTGGCCACGGAGCAGGCGGAGCTCAATAACACTGATACAGACATCATTGCTGTAGACGATGAGGTTGTGGAACGTTTCGTTCAATGTGCCACTGCGGCTGCACCATACTTTTCAGTAAGTAAAGAAGGATTTCCAATAAGTATCCACAAAACTAAACATCATCTTTTATCTATAGAAAACCATCAAATCGACAGCATTCGTTGCGCATGTTTGCGACAAGCTGTTGCCTATTCCGACATGGAACATGATCGCCACCGCAGTGTCACAAGATCAAATCCAATTAAGATTGCTTAAAGTATTTGCCGAGATGATAGCAAACACGGATAAGCTGGAGAATGCTAATGAACGCATCAATAATGTCTATAATGTATTACTGGTGGGCATTTCAAACATATTTTGTCCAAATGATTGTATTTTAAACGTGTTTCTTTGTTGATTTTCCAGGAGTACATGCCATTGCCCAAGCTAAGCGAGGTGGATCTGGTAGATGTGCCACCATCGTTTGAATTTTCGCATGCTGAGTGCCTGCTCTATGCACTGCACACACTGGGCAAGAAGCATCCAACTAATTTAAGTTTTGTAGAAGACGCTGAGAAACTGAAAGACTTTCGTGCTAGATTGCAATATCTAGCCAGGGGAACACAGGGGTAAGCGCCACATCTCTAGGATGTCTAGGAATAATACTAATTTGCCTTGTTTTGTGGCAGGTATATTAAAAAACTGGAGGAGGCTTTAAAGGGTAAATCAGCTGAGGAGCTGAAGTCGGAGGAGAATCAACTGAAGCAAACGGCTCTGAAGACAACATCAAATATCAATGTGTTAATACGCGATTTGTTCCATTCACCGCCCATATTCAAGCATGATATTGTATTATCCTGGATTGTGCCAAAAGCTGTGAGCATGCGAAATATTTATTTATTCGACTGTGTAAATCAAATGACATGTATTTTGTTTTGTATTTATTTGCAGAACAAGCTGGGCAAACGACATGCACCCATCACATTTGGGGAGAAGGCTGAAACCAACGGCAAGGAGAAAGACCAGGACTTAGAGAAGAAGTCGCGACCATCAAATGATCAGAAATTCTATTCGCCACCATCTGGCAAATACTCGCACAAAGTTAATCCAAACTACGGCAACAATAATCGCGGCAGGCAGCGTGGAGGAGGTGGAGGTGGCTACAGGAATCGACGCTACAACAAATATTGAAGCACCAGCACTCTGCAATTTTCTGCATGGATTGTCTTTCCTAGTCCTTAAACTAAAATCAATTACCAGAGATTAGAATATCCCAAAACTTCGTCCACAATAAAACTACTTCAAGTGTCCTGGCACCAGGCCAGGGTCTACTACCACAACAATACAAAAGCAAACGAATCGACTTCTCTTGGCGGCGGCTGGTAAGTAATGTAAATTTTCCAATTAACTTTCTCCGTTTGGTTTGTTACAGAAATGCACAATTTTTCCTGGAGTGTAAAGGGCAAGCAACACTTTTAACAAAACTCTCACACCCTGCTCTCATTGCTTTTATTGTTTTGTAAAAGATGATTGCGTGAAATCTTTAAACACCGTCACGTCTCACGTTCCACGTTCACTCTTATCATCATTATCCTTACTCGTGGGTGCGTTGGCACTGTTTCAATTTATATCACGCTCCAAAAACTCGATTTTGTCTAATATAAGATTTATTAATAGAGCCAGCCAAACGAATTCTTGCAAAATCAAACTATAAAATGAATTAAAAGTTATCCACAATTAATGCAGCAACATAAATAACAATATCCTCATGGTCTTGAAGCGCGATTCATTATGCTCACGAGAGGCAATCGATTTGTGTGCCACAAAGAGTTTGTTGAATCGGCTTTTGTTTCTTTTACAAGCAATACTTGCATAATAGTTAGTTTTTATTTAACATGTAATCAATAATTGTACCACTTAAAAAACTGCAAGCATACAGCATACATTTTTTGAATCCAATAAAAGCAACATTAAAGAACGAACACTTGCCTCTTTGTATTGCTTGTTCTGTATAGAGAGTTAAATTTTATATATGCATTTTTAAAAGATATTCCAACCATCGATATTGGATGAATTGGCCATATGCCGGAACGATATTTGGAAGTTTATAATATGTTTCGGCTATTTCTTTCTTGCTGGAAGGAGAAATTATAAATGTAATCCAGCAGCGTTATGAAACCTCCATGGAATACATTTCTCATCAAAGAAATGTTTGAGTTAGTTCTTTCTTTCTCTGATAAGATCATCATATTTATATGTGTATATATTTATTACCATTAATAAAAATATATATGTATGTATGTATGTGTAATTGAAGCTTTTGAAACATTAAAAATACAGTAATTATAGTTGCTTGTTTCAGATGCTCGGCGGCGGCTGGTTGCCCGGCTGTTGTCCGTTACCAGCATTGGGATTGCCGGCGCCTGGCGGCTGGATCCCCACCAGTTGGCTGGCAAAGCTCTGGAACAGCTGCAGCATATCGTTGGGCATAGCTGGGATATGTGGTGCAGCGCCACCACCGGCACCGCCAGGTGCAGTGGCACCACCTGGAGCAGCTGCTCCGCCGCCGGCTCCCAACAAATGGCTGATAGTATTTATCACCATGGGGTTCTGGGTCATCGATTGCAGCTGCTCCAGGTCGATCTCGGCGCTGTTAAACAGATTGCGGATCGTGGGATTACCCAGCATGGCGTTCAGGCTTTCGGTCAGCTGCGCCACCTGCGGTGGCTGATTGCGCGCATTCCGTGCCACCTCCAGGTTGTTGCGGTAATCGGGATTTTCTGGCTCCAATTCTATGGCTTTGCCGTAGGCCTGCTCCGCCTCGCTGAACTTTCCCATGTTTGAGTAGGCTACGCCCAGACGGCAATATGCCTTGCTGTAGGTGTTGTTATAGAGAAGAGCTGACTTGCAGTCTGTGACGGCTCGCTCGTTGTCACCCAGACGGATGTGCGCAGCAGCGCGATTGCAGTAGAAAATGGGGTTCTTGGGGTCGAAGGTGATGGCGCGGTTGTACTGCAGCAGGGCCTCGTTGTACTTACACTCCTTCATCAGGCGGTTGCCCTCGTTCTTGATTGATTCGGCCAGAGCCAGTGACTCTGGATTCCTTTCAATGTACAGCGACTGGAAGAGCTCGAACATGTCGATGTTCTTGGTGTTCACGGTGGTGGCAGTGGATGTGCTGCTGCTTGGAGCAGCGGCATCTCCGCCGGGCTGTGCACTCGTTGTGCTCTGTACAGTGGCCTCGATTTGCTCGGCAGCCGTTTCCTCTTCACCGACATCGAATGCGGCCTGCAGGCACTGTATGGCCACCTCAATGCTCTCGCTCTGATCGGGCGACAACACGTCCACCTGCTTCTTCAAATAGTCTATGAAGGAGCGGATAAAACTTTGTTGCACAGCGTCTGGCATCTTGTCGACAATTATTATATTATTATATTTTTTGTAAATTTGGTTAGGAAATGAAAATTATGTTGGCATGTCACTGTAGTGATGTGTATCGAAATGGCTATATCGATACTATACCGATATGGGGTTTAGATATTTAAGATTAATACGATTCGTTTCTTTTTTGCGTGTGTTGAAGGGAGAATTCATTAAATTAGTTTTTTATTTCATAGTTGGAGTGCGTATGCGTGGATCACAGATCTCGTAATTTATCTACGTTTAAATAATATATTTGTATATATTTTATTGTATTTTCATATCGGCTATTTCTACCCATCACTGCCATGGGGCTATATAAATTGATACACATTTTTGGTAACATTTCGATCGATGTTTTTGTGCGATAAATGCAATAATTTGGATTTAAATACCTATATTCTTTAATGTTACGAATTAAAAAGCCTCTAGCAACTGTTTTTATATCTCAGCTAAATACAATACTCATTTTCTTAGATATTTTTCCTAGTTGTTTTATTATGAGGTAAATGTCGTCATATTGAGCATATGATGAATCTTTTTTAAGTGTGGGAACTTTTAAGCATCTAGAAAACGTATTTACTGAGGTTTATGACATTGAGCTGCAATAGGAGAAATTGTGGTGTCGCCGTTCAGCGGGATTGCAGATATAATGTCGAGTGTGTCGGAAAGGGGGACGGACGGCACGGTCTTAGTGTGGATGAGAGTATGTCTTTTAAGAATGCCTTTAAGTTTGAAAGATTCCGAGCAGTAGGAACATTTGTAGGGGCGTTCATCCGAGTGCGTCCTGATGTGAGTCAGGAGATTTCCCCTCTTGCTAAAAGATTTTGAGCAATGAGAACACTGGTGGGGCGGAAGTTCTCCAGTGTGAGTACGGTGGTGCATTTGAAGATAGTAGTTCTGATTAAATGACTTAGGACAGAGAGTGCATTTATATGGTCGTTCCCCAGTGTGGGTACGTATGTGGACCTGGAGATCCGAATTTTGTATAAATGACTTTGAGCAATGGGAACATTTGTAGGGTCGATATCCTGTGTGCGTTCGAATATGACTCTGAAGAATGTCGGAGCGAGTAAAGGACTTGGAGCAGTAAGTGCACTCGTATGGTCTCTCCCCCGTGTGTATGCGGTTGTGTACTTGCAGATGGGACTTTTGTTGAAATGACTTGGAGCAATGAGAGCAATGATAAGGTCGATCGCCGGTGTGATTACGTGTGTGCGATTCAAGATTGGATTTTTGTATGAATGACTTTGAGCATTGTGAACATTTGTAGGGTCGCTCATTTGTATGCATTTGTACGTGTCTCTGCAAATGGAATTTTTGCTTAAAACTCATTGGGCAATGGTTACATTTAAACGTCACTACATCTTTAAAATGGTTCGACTGATCACTTCCACACGCTGACCTTTCCCATTTCTCGTCTCCCAGACTATAACATAAATCTTCTTCTCTCTCCTCCTCCATCAGTGGTAAATATACTTGATGGCTCTGCTGACAGGTTTTTATAAGACTGAATGCATTTATAGCATCCTCAAGGCAGGGCGGGCAAATGTTTTCTGATAGTAAATCTCCCTGCATAACATCGTACCCGGTACACTGAGCTATCATATCAGCAAGGCAAGTGTCCCACTTTTGTGCCTCATCAAAAATGTTTGTTAATGCTTCAGACCGTGACATGCAAACTCTGCATATGTCCTCCATTGTTCTAAAATCAAAACTAATTTTTTAATAAACACAATTGAGGCTAATGTAAAACAAACAACAAACCAGGATGTGCTGCTCCTATGAATTGCAAATATAATTTTTCGACTTCACGAATTATTTTGCTCTGACAACAAATCCTAATAACAAGTTGACGATTAACAGAACAGATGATTGTTGTTATGTGCTGTAAGGCGCTAATGAAGTCGGGTTTTCTGTATGAATATTGTGTTATCGAAATTACTCTTAAATACTTCTTTAGAATTTTATTTCTTAAAGCAATCCTGATTATTCGATTTGCAACTAAAAAAACCTCTTCAAATGAAACCTTTCTGTTACTCAGCCCGAGCACCAGGCGTTTCACATTGTGTTCAAGTTAAGACATTTTCGAGTAATTTTAATGTATTTTAATTTTTATTTAAATTTATTCAAACAATACATTTTTGGGACTACATTTCAATAAATTATCGAGTTTCAAATGAGTGTGAAGAATCGTTTACAGTATCTTCAACTGGTTCATTTCCTTCGTTTAATGTCTTCCAGGTCCGGAATCGCAGTGGACACACTAAAATTTGTTCTTTAGGTGGCGTATAAAGTTTATATATTATAAAGAGGAGGAGTGAACAACTAAATCCTTTTTTTGTGTGAGTTCGAGTGTGTTTTTTTAGATAGAAGTTTTTTTAAAGGTCTTCGGCCAGAAAGAACACGTCTAGACTTTTCCACTAGTGTGGGTGAGGATATGCTGAGTGAGGTGGTGCTTTTGCTTGAATGACTTCGAACATTGAGAGCAAGAGTAGGGCCGATCACCTGTGTGAATACGGGTATGTATTATCAAATGGTGGTTTTGAGTAAAGGACTTTTCGCAGTAAGCACATTGGTACAGAGTTTGTCCAGTGTGCGTCCGGGTGTGCACATGGAGGCCAGATCTGTGCTTAAAGGATTTTGGGCAGCGCGAGCATTGGAAAGGTCGATCTCCAGAGTGACTTCGTATGTGTGTTTTCAGAGTGTCAAGTTGTATAAACGATTTTGAGCACTCCGTGCATTTGTAGGCTCGTTCGCCGGTATGTGTACGCATGTGAACCGCCAGTGCTCCAGCTACGCAAAAGGACTTATCACACATCAAACACTTATACGGCCGCTCTCCCGTGTGAGTGCGTGTATGTGATTCCAAATGATGTTTTTGTTTAAAAGCCATCTCGCAGAAAGAGCATTGGAAGCGGTGTACGTCACCTGTATGCGATCGGATGTGTTCGCGAAGACCTCCAGCTCGTGAGAAAGTCATCGCACACTGAGTACATTTATATGGTCGCTCCCCAGTGTGAACACGTATGTGTTCGTTGAAACGGGATTTTTGGTGAAAGGTTTTCGAGCATTCGGAGCACTTGAAGGGTCGTTCCTTTGTGTGCGTAAGTAAGTGATGTTCTAATTCTGATTTGTGTACGAAGGCTTTTGAGCAGTCGTTGCATGAGAACGGTAATTTATCCGCGTGATATCTTTGAATGTGAATCTTTAGGTTGGCTGGTAAGGGAAAAACTTCGGAGCAGTGAGGACATTGTGATTGTTCTAGTTCCTTCGTGTGTTTGCGAGTATGAGCATTGAGAGCATGGAGTTCCATGTAGGTCTTAGGACACTGAGTACACTTAAACGGTCGCTCTCCAGTGTGATTACGAGTGTGTATTTCCAGCTGGTAGTTGTACGAAAAACATTTTCCGCAGAACGAACACAGGAAGGGTCGATCACGTTTTACATCCGTGTGCGTACGCATGTGTTTGACAAAATTGGATTTTTGTGAGAAATCTTTCAAACATACAGCACATATGTAGGGTCGTTCGCCAGTGTGGAGACGGTAGTGTACTACGAGATCGACTCTTCGTTTATAGGTTTTCGGGCAGTCTGGACATTGGTGGGGCCGTTCTGGATCATCCGATTTCTCAGGATCACGCTCTATTTTTGCATCGGTTTCAATTTGTTTTGAATTCTCACTGTCGTTATGTGGCTGCTTTAAGTCCTCGACTTTTAGATCCTCTTCTTCTTTTTGCTCCTCCATCATTTCGAAATAGAGTTGATGGTTCTGCTTACAGATTTTTTTAAGATTAAATGAACTCACTGCATCCTGAAGGCAAGGCGAACATATGTTTTCTGATAGTGAATCGCCTCGTTTAATTGTGTATCCGGTACACTGGGTTATCATATCAGCAAGACAAGTGTCCCATTTTTGTGTCTCATCAAAAATGTTAGTGAATCGTCTTGACGTGCCCATGCACACTCTGCATTTATTGTCCATTGGCCTGCAAGTTGTAAATGAATTCAAAATAAACGGAGTGGAGAACCTAACAATTGTTTACCTTAATTCAGTCTTAAAATTAAACAGCCCAGCAAACTGTGCGATTTTTCTGGATGAATGTTTTCTTTTTTCTTGTTCAAATTGTTTTGTTTTATTTTAAGAAAATTTCATGCGAAAAATGTGCTGTTAGACGTCACGTCACAGACAACTGTTGCAATGTCATTGTTATCGGAATAATTCGTATGGATATTTTCAGAATAGGGGTATGCCTGGACATGAAATAGATTTGCTTTGAAATATTCATCTGTGTTACCTCACATACCATAAATTCCAATGTTTTTAGGCAAATAAAAGAAATAAAATAGTAAGGTGAACAAATTTAACGAAATAGTTTTATTGCAAGGCAGCTCACTTCGTTTGAGCGCTACCACTAACCATATATATTATTAGTAGCACTCGAAACCGGGTTTGTCTTGACTTCACACGGATACATGTGATTTTGAGATTCGGTTTAATATTACTAGCGAGCCAGAACTCCTAGGACTAAAAATATAATATTATCGGATAGATAATATATTTTCTATAGTGAATTTTATGAATTCTCCATAATTGGGGTTTGCGGTAAATAAGATGTAAACAGAAAAGACCACTGCATAATTGTTTAGTGTGAAAAAATATAACCAGCCACTGGCCATCCGCCATTTTAGAGTCATTTTAATTTAATACAATTTTATTTTAGTTTTAAAAATACAATACATTTTTGTGAATTATCAAGTTGCAAATGAGTGTAACGAATCGTGTGTTCAGGTGCATGGTGAAATTACTAATAAGGTGACGTCGTCAGCTGAGTGGAGCATGGTGAAATTACTAATAAGTGACGGATTCACCACAGTGCCTTCTCATTCGAGGAACACCAGCTTGTCAGTAGTTTGCCAAACGTCGACGAAAGAGGTTGTGTAGCGCACGATTTTTTCATTGTCTTCTTCTTTTTCTTCATTGTTTAAGAATGAAGACGTAATGTGTAATGAAATGTGTATGTAATTGAATCTTTATTCAATTACATCTTTTTTAGAAACACATTTGTCTGCAAAATATTTTCTGCTATGCCGCTCCAAATCTTAACTTTGCTGTAAGCAGAAACAATTCAAGCAAAGAGTGCAGAACGTAAAACGTTTGCTATCTCTCTCTAGCGCTCGCCTCTCTGAGAGCTGAGAGAGCGTGGTGAATAAGCTGATGCTCCTACACTCAGCTGACGACGTTACCTATTAGTAATTCTACCATGGTCTAGACTTTTTCAGTAGTGTGGGTTAGGATATGTTGAGTTAGATGGATCTTTTGCGTGAACGACTTCGAGCATTGAGAGCAAGAGTAGGGCCGAACACCTGTGTGAATACGAGCATGTGTTTGAAGATGGTGCTTTTGAGTAAAGGACTTTTCGCAGTAAGCACATTGGTACACAATTTCGTCAACATGCGTACGGGTGTGCACATGGAGGCCAGATCTGTGCTTAAATGATTTTGAGCAGTGCTCGCATTGGAAAGGTCGATCTTCAGAGTGACTTCGTATGTGCGTTTTTAGAGTGTCTAGTTGTGAAAATGATTTTGAACATTGATTACACTCATACGGTCTCTCCCCAGTGTGAGTACGGATGTGTAATTTTAGTTCGTATTTCTGTATAAACGACTTTGAGCACTCCGAGCATTTGTAGGCTCGTTCTCCTGTATGTGTACGCATGTGAACCGCAAGAGTTCCAGCTACGCGAAAGGATTTATCACATGTCAAACACTTGTACGGTCGCTCTCCCGTGTGAGTGCGAATATGTGTTTCCAAATGTTGTTTTTTGTTATAAGCCATCTTGCAGAAAGAGCATTGGAAGCGTTGATCACCTGTATGCAATCGAATGTGATCGCGAAGAGCTCCGGATCGGGAAAAACCCTTCCCGCAGTGAGTACATTTATATGGTCGCTCCCCAGTGTGAACACGGATGTGTTCGTTGAGATGGGAATTTTGTTGAAAGGTTTTCGAGCATTCGGAGCACTTGAAGGGTCGTTCCTTTGTGTGCGTAAGTAAGTGATGTTCTAGATCTGATTTGTGTATGAAGGATTTTGAGCAGTCGTTGCATGAGAACGGTAATTTACCCTCGTGATATCTTTGAATGTGAATCTTTAAGTCGGCTAGTAATGGAAAAACTTCGGAGCAGTGAGGACATTGTGATTGTTCTAGTTCCTTCGTGTGTTTGCGAGTATGAGCATTGAGAGCATGGAGTTCCATGTAGGTCTTAGGACACTGAGTACACTTAAACGGTCGCTCTCCAGTGTGATTACGAGTGTGTATTTCCAGCTGGTAGTTGTACGAAAAACATTTTCCGCAGAACGAACACAGGAAGGGTCGATCACGTTTTACATCCGTGTGCGTACGCATGTGTTTGACAAAATTGGATTTTTGTGAGAAATCTTTCGAACATACAGCACATACGTAGGGTCGTTCGCCAGTGTGGAGACGGTAGTGTACTACGAGATCGACTCTTCGTCTATAGGTTTTCGGGCAGTCTGGACATTGGTGGGGCCGTTCTGGATCATCCGATTTCTCAGGATCACGCTCTATTTTTGCATCGGTTTCAATTTGGTTTGATTTCTCACTTTCGCTATGTGACTGCTCTGCGTCCTCGTCTTTTTGATCCTCACAAATGCCTTCTTCTTTTTGCTCCTCCATCATTTCGAAATAGAGTTGATGGTTCTGCTTACAGGTTTTTTTTAGATTAAATGAACTCACTGCATCCTCAAGGCAAGGCGGGCATATGTTTTCTGATAGTAAATCACCTCGCTTAACCGTGTACCCGGTACACTGGGCTATCATATCAGCAAGACAAGTGTCCCATTTTTGTGTCTCATCAAAAATGTTAGTTAATGGTCTGGACGTTCCCATGCACACTCTGCATTTGTTGTCCATTGACCTGCAAGTATATAAATGAATTTAAAACAAACGGAGTACAGGAACGGAAAATTATTTACCTTAATTCAGTCCTAATTAATTAAACAGCCCAGCAAATTGTGCGATTTTTCTGGATGAATGTTTTATTTTTTAGCTCAAATTGTTTTGTTTTATTTTGAGAAAAAATCGTGCGAAAAATGTGCTATAAGGCGTCACAGACATCTGTTTTAATGCCATTGTTATCGGAATAATTCGTATGGATATTTTCAGAATAGGGGTATGCCTGAAAATGAAATAGACTTGTTTGAGGTATACATACAAATAAATAAATAAAACGAGAAGGACCCGTGTGAGACGCTTCTTACGCGTCACAACTTTTATACCCGGCACTCAGGACAACATCTAGATGTAGAAGACATCGCCAACCACTAGATATCGTTCACATTACAGAACACGTAATAAAAAGCCTAATAAATAAAATGCATCAAAAAAATTGGATTAGTTAATCGTATTTTTCAATTTATGAGATATTTAAAACAGCAATAAAATTGGTACTTTTTCCCTGCACAGCAGATTTTTCGAAAGTGGCGCCATCTATGAAAATTTCTGGTAGGCAACTTTGATGGTCACTCTTTTTATATTACAGAGCGTTAAAAACCGAGTATTGGTTTTAACTTTTAAAAATTAGCAACCAGTTCGGAATCAAAATCTCGAAATAAAAAGCCAAGTGCTGCTGTTCTACCGCATACAGCGTCCGGAGCCAAAATTGTGTGGCTCTAGCTCTTATAGTCTCTGAGAACTAGCCGACAAACAAGACGGACAGACAGACATGGCTCTATCGACTCGTCTATTGATGCTGATCAAGAATATATATACTTTATGGGGTCGGAAACGCTTCCTTCTGTGCGTTACATACAACCGTTATTCGCACAAATACAATATACCCTATTTACTCTTCGAGTACCGGGTATAATAAATATAAACTTCAGATGCATAGCCCTAAACACACCGGGGAGCGACCCTTCAAGTGTATTCACTCCTCGAAGGCTTATAGTCGAAACGGAGCTCTTAAAATCCACATGCTCGCGCACACGGAAGGACTGCCCTTCAAATACACCGACTTCTTAGAGTCATTTCAACTAAAATCACAACTTCAAAACACACACCCGAACGCACACGGGAGAATAGGTCTACAAAGCTCAAAGTCTTTTTGACAAAAATTCAAACTTGTACAGAATTTGCTTGTTGTTCGCCGTGTTATACCTCACGGGCCGTCCTAGTTCTCAGAGACTATAAAAGCTAGAGGAACTACATTTTGCACCCAGGCTGCACCCAGGCACCCAGGCACCCCCAACAGCATCAAGGCTGATGCTAGCTCATTCTCTCCAGCTCGCACACTCTGCCTGCATGTACGTATGTACATGTGTATATGTATACTGACTGAGTACCGATATAAAAGAAGTGACGCTGCATTATCAGCTAGCAGTTAATTCCAATAAACTGTTACAGATTTGTTAAAAATAGAAAAGGACTCGCATTTGTTTTTAATTTGTACATTCTTAGATGACCTTTTTAAATAACAATAATTTGATTGTTGTTTCAGAGTTACATTAACTTCATAAAGAGCTACATACGTTCTCCAGATCAGAATCTTAACTGTGCGTTTTTTCAATATACATACAAATGGCATGAAGCAACTATAAAGGAGGACTCGTCGTCGGCATTGTTACGTTTCCCTCTAAAAAGCCGACGAGCCCTCCTTTATAGTTGCTTCATGTACATAGGTACATATGCAAATGTATATGTACGTAGATTAAAAAACATTTATAGGAAACATTTTAAAACGTATATGATAGGAAGAAAATTCTCGATATTTAGCAAAAAAAATCGTTCGAAGAGGAAAAATGTATTAAACAAGCAAGGTTTGATCCAATTTTCCAAATCAGATCAAAGCGAAAACCAATTAGAAGAGTACCCATGCGTTAACTTTCGATGCAACAACATATGTTTTCATTTGAGTAAAGTTGTTTGCGTTTAACAGCACTTTCGTGAATTCATTTTCTCACAACAAAACTATTCACGCAAGAAATATATCTTTCAAATCAGAAAAACTACAACATTTGGCTGCTTGTGGGTTGTCGTTCGTTCATTCAAATCCATTTACTTGCAGGACAATGGAGAAAATATGCAGAGTTTGCATGGGAACGTCTCGGGCATTCACAAACATTTTCGAGGAAACACAAAAGTGCGACACTTGCATTGCTGACATGATAGCCAAGTGCACCGGATACGATATTAGGCAGGGAGATTTACTACCAGAAATAATATGTTCGAGCTGCCTTGAAGATGCAGTGAGTGCATTCAATCTTATAAAAACCTGCGAGCAAAGCCATCAATTATATTTCCCTGAGATGGAAGCGGAAATAGAAGATCTCTGTGAAAATCTTGAATGCGAGGTTTGGGAAAATTCTGTCAATGAACGAGAGCAGTCCGACGGTGATAAGGATGTGGCTATTCACACAAAGGAACGACCCTTCAAGTGCTCCGAATGCCCGAAATCCTTTCAACAAAAGTCCCATCTCAACGAACACATCCGTGTTCACACTGGGGAGCGACCATATAAATGTACTCACTGTAGGAAGACTTTTTCCCGAGCCGGAGCCCTTCGCGATCACATCCGATTGCATACAGGTGATCAACGTTTCCAATGCTCTTGCTGCAAGATGGCTTTTAACAAAAAACAACATTTGGAAACACATTTACGCACTCACACGGGAGAGCGGCCGTATAAGTGTATGATGTGTGATAAGTCCTTTTCCCAAGCTGGAACTCTTGGGGTTCACATGCGCACACATACCGGAGAACGAGCCTACAAATGCTCGGAGTGCTCAAAGTCGTTTATACAGAAATATGAACTAAAATTACACATCCGTACTCACACTGGGGAGAGACCGTATGAATGCAATCAATGTTCAAAGTCGTTTACACAACATAACACTCTGAAAGCGCACATACGAAGTCACTCTGGAGATCGGCCTTTCCAATGCTCGCGCTGCTCAAAATCATTTAAGCAAAAATCTGGCCTTAATGTTCACACCCGTACGCACACTGGAGAAAATCTGTACCAATGTGATTACTGCGAAAAGTCCTTTAAACAAAACCACCATCTGCAAATTCATACCCGTACTCATACAGGTGATCGGCCCTACTCTTGCTCTCACTGCTCGAAATTATTCAAGCAAAAGCACCACCTCACTCAACATATCCTAACGCACATTGATGGAGAACTGTACTCGTGTTCTTACTGCTCAAAGACCTTTAAACAAAACTCCTATCTACAAAAACACACTCGAACTCACACAAAAAAAGTGACTTTAAAGTGTTAAAGATGGACAAATTTAAAATTTCGCCACCTAAAGATCAAATTATATTGTGTCCACTGTTATTCCGGACCTGGAATACATTTAAAGAAGGAAACGAAGCAGTCGAAGATACTAATAATGGAAAGATGCGTCGCACTCATTTGCAACTCGATAATTTATTAAGCTGTAAAGTCAGAAAACTTTATTGCATTGGTAGATTTAAATAAAAATGCATTAAATACAAATTATTTGAAAACGGCTTCATTTGCACAGAACGTTTGCTCGGTTGGTCGGAAGTAGCCTATATCCTATTTATTCATCTGTCGTATTTATACTAGTGAAACTCGAATAATTTGTATTTGTCCATCCTTGCTCCCCGGTTCTGTCAATCAAGCAAATTTTATCTTGACCTGCCCCAATCCAATGTTTGATTCGGAGAGGCTTGTGCGAGTGCCTATCGAAAAATTTGGATTGCTACTATTTCGATAAGAAACTTAAAATTCAAAAGAATACTTAAAAGTAATTTCGATAGTACAGTCCACCCGATTTCATCGCAACTAACAGCACATCACAGCAATCATCTGTTCTGTCAATCATCAGCTCTGTTCTTAGGATTTGTGGTCCGAGCGAAATAATTCGTAAAAACTTTATATTTGCAATTCATAGAAGCATCACATTTTGTTTTAGTTCATTATTTTCAGTAAATTCAGTAAAAAACCGGTTTCGAGTGATATTAATAATGCATAACAATGCAGCATTTTTATACCCGGTACTCGAAGAGTAAATAGGGTATATATATTTGTGCGAATAACGGTTGTATGTAACGCACAGAAGGAAGCGTTTCCGACCCCATAAAGTATATATTCTTGATCAGCATCAATAGACGAGTCGATAGAGCCATGTCTGTCTGTCCGTCTTGTTTGTCGGCTAGTTCTCAGAGACTATAAGAGCTAGAGCCACTAAATTTTGACTCCGGACTGCTGTATGCTCACACTGAAATCAGTGTATTTAAAAAATGAGCCACGCCCCCTTCCACCCCCGCAAAAGGGCGAAAACCTCCCAAATCTACAGTTTTGAAGATAAAAGAAAAGTAACGCCATTCCGTAGGAAATGGCCATATCTATCAGATCACCAAAGTGGGATCCGATCGGATCATTATTATAGCCACAATGGAGAAATTAATTTCCAGTGGCTAAACCCACCCTGTCCCGCAGCTTTGCTTCTGCTTCACTCGGCCCTGCCTCTGCCCTCCCCCTGCCAATGCGTCTTCCGACTTTTAACACACCCCGTCCCGCAGCTTATATTTGTTTTTTTTTTGTGTGCGCACTCTGCCTCTGCCTCGAGTCTGCAGTGTGTGGGTCTAGGGAAGGGCGGCGAGCTAACGGAGCGTGTTGGTGTGAGAAGTGTTGTAGATGTAGATGACAGATGAAGAAAAAATGTAAAATTTTACAAATAACCGCTAAGGTGCAGATGTAGTCCTGAGTGCCGGGTATAAAAGTTGTGACGCGTAAGAAGCGTCTCACACGTCCCTTCTCGTTAGTATCTTCAATTGCTTCGTTTCCTTCTTTAAATGTCTTCCAGGTCCGGAATAACAGTGGACACAATAAAATTTTATCTTTAGGGGGCAACATTTTTAATTTTTCCATCTTTAACACTTTAAAGTCCTTTTTCTGTGTGAGTTCGAGTGTGTTTTTGTAGATAGGAGTTTTTTTTTAAAGTCTTTGGGCAGTAAGAACACGAGAACAGTTCTCCATCAATGTGCGTTAGGATATGTTGAGTGAGATGCTGCTTTTGCTTGAATAATTTCGAGCAGTTAGAGCAAGAGTAGGGCCGATCACCTGTTTGTTTAAAGGACTTTTCGCAGTAAGCACATTGGTTCAGATTCTCTCAGGTGTGGTGCGTACGGGTGTGCTTATTAAGGCCAGATCTTTGCTTAAATGATTTTGAGCAGTGCGAGCATTGGAAATGCCGATCTTCAGAGTGACTTCGTATGTGCGCTTTCAGAGTGTCTAGTTTTGCAAACAACTTTGAACATTGATTGCACTTATACGGTCTCTCCCCAGTGTGACTACGGATGTGTAATTTTAGTTCATATTTCTGTATAAACGACTTTGATCACTCCGAGCATTTGTAGGCTCGTTCTCCGGTATGTGTGCGGTATGTGTGAACCGCAAGAGTTCCAGCTTGGGAAAAGGACTTATCACACATCATACACTTATACGGCCGCTCTCCCGTGTGAGTGCGTAAATGTGTTTCCAAATGTTGTTTTTTGTTAAAAGCCATCTTGCATAAAGAGCATTGGAAGCGTTGATCACCTGTATGCAATCAGATGTGATCGCGAAGAATTACGGATCGGAAAAAACCCTTCCCGCAGTGAGTACATTTATGTGGTCGCTCCCCAGTGTGAACACGGATGAGTTTTCTGAAACCTCGTCTTCATGATTTTCACACATTTCTTCTATATCCGCCTCTATCTCAGGGAATTATAATTTATGGCTCAGCTCGCAGGTTTTCCATAGATTAAAAGCACCCACTGAAGGCAATGCGGACATATTTTATCTGATGGTAAGTCTCCTCGCCTAACCACGTATCCTGTACAATGGGCTATCATGTCAGCAATGCAAGTGTCCCACTTTGGTCACTCGTCGAAAATGTTTGTGAATACCCGAGAAGTTCCTATGCAAACTCTGCATATTTCCTCCATTGTCCTGCAAGTAAATGGAGTTTAATAAACGGTATACAGGAAGGCGCAATATCGAATTGATTCGAGAATAAACCTGGTTGTGTATTAATTCCAAATATAGTTTTTCGTAACGAATTGCATTTGTTGTTTTGACAACAAACCGTAAGAATGAGCTGTTAAGCGCGAATGTAGCACAGAGAAATTCTGTTATATATATCGATAGGACTGTATGAATATTGTATTGAATTGATAATGTTTCGTTTTTAAGGAACCAATAAAAACTAAACAGCCTTTACTTTCATGTAGTTCAATAAATTTGTAAGTTCAATAATACATACAAACAAAATACAACACATGACAAATGGTTCAATTATTCATTTCTGGGACTTTCCAATTGGTAATTTTAAGTGATACATGTTATGTTTAGTTATGGATCCTTTGGATGAATAAAATCTTTTGACTTTTATTAAGTATTAGAATGCATCTGTTTCTTAAGCTTCCATCTGCCTTTTCTAGGTTACACTTAGATATTATTATCTTTACAATCAATCCGTACACAGGTCTCTAGCGTATATCTCAGACGCAATTGATTGTCACGGATCGTGAGCTTCTCGAACCACCTTGCGGAAACTGCTGCATGCATAATATGTGAAAAATGCTTATACGGCTATAACCCTATCAACGGCTAATGAAAAGAATGGAAATAGACTATCCTCGAACAGAATTCGGAGAAATTGTACGGTAATGACATATTTGGTATTAACAATAAATTTTTCTGACTTTCGTTGTTCATTTTTTAAATTGTAAATATATGTACATTTTTCCATTTCATGTGTGTTTTTGAAGTTAGTAGTTCAGCTGCTAAAGATGTTTCCCAGAATGAGTTTTCATGTGAACTTTGAGGATGTTAGGCTGTGTAAACGACTTTGAACATTGATTGCACTCGTACGGTCGCTCCCCAGTGTGCATGCGCATGTGTAATTTGAGTTCGTGTTTGTATATGAACGACATTGAGCATTCGGTGCATTTGTTCGGACGATCCCCTGTGTGAGTTCGGACATGTGCATCAAGTCTGCATTTTTGTGCGAAGGATTTCGAGCAGAAGGAACAACTCAAGGGTTGATCACCTGTGTGCGTACGGATGTGGAGTTTGAGCTCGTGTTTATGTATATACGACTTTGGACACTCAGAGCATTTGTAAGGTCGATCCCCTGTATGAGTACGGATGTGTGCATCAAGTCTGCATTTTTGTGCGAAAGACTTTGTGCAGAATGAACATTTGTGGGGATGATCCCCCGTGTGCGTACGGATATGTAATTTAAGTTCGTGTTTGTGTTTAAACGACTTTGAGCACTCGGTGCACTGGTAGGGCCGATCCCCTGTGTGAGCACGGGTGTGAATATCAAATGTGGATTTTTGTGAGAAGCACTTTGAGCAGTAGGAGCATTTGTACGGTTGACCACCTGTGTGTGAATAGATGTGTACTTTGAGTTCTGCTTTTAGTATAAACGACTTTGGACACTCGGAGCAATGGTAGGGTCGATCCCCTGTGTGAGTGCGAGTGTGTGAATCAAGTCTGAATTTTTGTGGAAAGGATTTTAGGCAGAAGGAGCACTTGTAGGGGCGATCACCAGAGTGCATACGGATGTGATATTGTAAACTGTTTTTTCGCATATAAGACTTCGGGCATTGAGGACACTTGAACCGAAGAACGAGATCCTTATCTCTATGTATTTTTTCATCGCCAGATAAGCCCGACAGCTTGTCTTCACTTTCTGATATTTCTATGGTCTCGTCTTCCTGATTATCAGATGGGTCTTCTTTATCCTCTTCCATCAGTGAGAAATAGAGTTGATGGCTCTGCTCACAGGTTTTCTTAAGATTGAATGAACTAACTGCATCCTCAAGGCAAGGCGGACATATGTTTTCGGATAGTGAATCACCTCTTCTGACCACGTACCCTGTACACTGGGCTATCATATCAGCAAGACAAGTGTCCCATTTTTGTGTCTCATCAAAAATGTTAGTTAATGGTCTGGACGTTCCCATGCACACTCTGCATTTATCGTCCATTGACCTGCAAGAATGTAACTGAATTAAAAATAAACTGAGCAGAGGTACGGACGATATGTTACGTGAATTGAGTCGTAAAATAACACAGCCCAGCAAATTGTTCGTCTTTTTTGGATTTTTTGTGTTTCCTTGCTCAAATTGTTTTGTTTTGAGAAATACGTGTAAGCAAAATGTGCTGTAAGGCGCTATTGCTATTGTTCAGCGTTTACACCGATATCAATATTTAATGTTAATTAGCACTTGTTGAGCACCAACGTATTTCCGAAACAATCGAATAGATTGAGTATTTCGTTTAGAAAGGGCACGAGGAAGCTATATAAAACGAATATATAAATCGGTGAATATGATTTTCGATCACTAACTAACTAAATTAAGATGGCATTAATTATTTTAATAATTATTGGAAATAAGGCATAGATAGTGTCCATACTCCATATGTTGTTGATGTGTAGCAATTATGTAGTTATCGTGTAGTTACTATGTAAGACTTGGGACATTTTTTTGTACGTTCTTTTTGTAAACCTTTTTTTATATACAATTCAATAAAGACAGTCTTCAAAACAAGCTTATCTACTAGAGAATTGATTAATCAATCGGATTAAACTGCATTTTTAGCGCTGAGAGTCGTAGTTAGCTTTTAAAATTAAATCGAATATCAAAATCGAGGAATATGATTTCAGCAGTATATTTACGGTATATTTCTTCAATGGGAAAGTATCTTTCGGTATATTGTTGAATGGAGACGGTCATGGAAAGGTATGGACAGCAGGCCAAAACGGCCAAGGGAAATTACGAGCCTCGAACGAACCTCACCTAGCCTTCAAGATTAAGAAATGCAAGGTATGTTGGGGAAAAGGGGTGGAATTCGTACCGCACGAATTGGAGTTTCTGGGCAGTTTCGCTTATTGGCCATACCTCTTTTTCAACTTTCTGGCAACGAAAAAAAACAACGTTTAGTTTTAGCCAGGTCGGACGTGATTGTTTAGTTTTTGGATTTTGCTTGAAAATTACGCCTTCAATTACTGCCCGTTTAAAGTAATTCATCCGTCTCTACCGAAACTTGTGCAACGAAAATCCGATACGAAGCGCCACTCTGGTTGCAGGCAACAACACAAAATATATGGGCACAAATTTGTATAGCAATGAAAGTGGAAATCGTGTGATGTCATGTTGACGACAAAACTGTGCTCTGCCGTTTTTTGTTAATTGAAACAACTTCCTGCGCTGCCAACTGCTGCTGTGTGGGTGTGGGAGAGTGTGCAACACGCGCCTGGAATAGTTGTTCCAAGTGCGACAAGTGTAAAAAAACACACATTTTGGCTTGTGGAAAAAGAATTGAATTGAACAGAAATTCCAATTTTCATTCCACTTCACTGGAGAGTAGCACAAAAGAGAAAAGGTAAAACGCACACGCACACACCAGCGCAGCGCAGAGCTGAGAACATCACAGTGTGTGTGTGTGTGGAGTTATGAACGCCTCTCCACATTTTGAATGTGTTTGAGTAAACGGGAAACTGCAGAAGCTCCAGCGCCACCACAACCCCCTGCACTCCACGTCCGGCATAAACAAAACGAGAGGAACATTTTGTATTGATTTCCCTCCAAAAACAAAAACAGGGAGAACTAGAAATCTACGATTCCGCCCAAGCAACAGGAGAGTCACAGGAGGAGTCAGTGCCACGCCTACGGGCTGCCTTTACCGTCCGATCCACCCGCATTTCCCTTCCAACACGCCCCTATCCACCAGCCATGTCCAGCCCCAGCCAAACAGAGGGCAGCCAATCCCTCGAGGAGCTGCGCATGGAAGTGGAGCGTCTGACCCGAGAACTTGACCAGGTATCCTCCGCCAGCGCCCAGTCTGCCCAATATGGCTTGTCCCTGTTGGAGGAGAAGTCGGCGCTGGAGCAGAAATGCGAGGAGCTGGAAACTCTCTACGATAACACACGGCACGAGCTGGACATAACGCAAGAGGTAAGCGGAGGGTGGGATAGGGGGGATTAAGACCTGTTCATATTTAATTAAAGAAAGGGGTTAATAAGTCATCTCCTTCCGGCTAAGCTCCTCCCAGACTTCCGTGTGTTCCCTTAACACCTTCGGAATCTCATTTAGCCAGGGTCCACTGTTATTACCATTCTGGTCGGTTTCCAAGCATTCGCCGCTTATCTGCTATCTTGCTCACCCAACTATTTAGCTCGCATAAAAACAAAAAGCAAAGCGTTTTCACAATCGCCTTCAATTTGTCTTGCTGGCAAATTAACTCGCTCACCTGTTGGCCAGTCTCTCTCTTCTCTCCATTTCTCGCTCTCTCGCTTTTGTCTTTTGCAGCGCTCTCTTTGGTCTTGTCTGCTAGGTCTAGCTGAAATAATCGCCGATCGAACTGAGTCCGCTGACCATGACCATATGGTCACGTGCTGCTTTTCAAAACTGGGCTTGCGGTACTCTTAACCATTCAGTGAACGCCGCACCACCCCTCTCCCAAACGCATTACTGTCGTTCTGGTTCTACCTCTATCTCTCCTGATCGCGGTTAGTTTGTGCAAGAATTTGGAGTCTTTCTGAAAGTGTTTTTGGTTGGACTTAGATTAGTATTTGTGTTCTGCAGTGGAATAAAAAATTGCTTGGTTAGTATAAAATGGAAAAAATAAAAAGTTAATTGCTAAAACTTTACACTTTTAATAAACATATTTGTATGTCAAAGTTGATAAATATTGCATGGTATGGTATTACCAAGAATATACAGCTGTTAATAGCTGTAAACTTTAAACAAAACACAAATTAAAAACAGCCGTCAAGAATACTTCCATTATTTCAGTTCTCTGGTTTTAGCACGGTCAATCTATTTTTGCCGTTTCATTTTGCACCTACGTTAAGCGCCACATTGCCTCCTTTTACCCCGCTCAGAACCCCGTCTAGTATGAATAAACTCTGCCAATTAGTCGTCGCTACCGCTTGGCATTTCCGCTGGAATTCCTCCGCTGGATGAAAAAGACAGGAACCGGGCATAGCCAGACACAGGCAAACTTTTGTCCCTTCGTCTGCAAAAATCAAGTGAGGGAACAATAATCATTCTGCCCTCTATTATCATTTCTCTATTCTATGTTTTGTTTTGCCTTTTGTGACTCTGTTTTTCTCTTTGTATTGTTGATAATTAAAGTGGTTGCTAAAGTAAACGATTTTTCTGGGAGTATGACTATCAGGGTGAATTAGGCTTAGCAGAATATTTATACATTCTGATGCTTTTCAGGAATTAAATATAGTCGCTTCTTAAAGTTTTTTAATTAAATTATTTGTAATAAAATATGAATTCGATTTACCCACAAACTGTTTTCTGGCTTTAATTATGTCATAACTGCAGGGATAACTTTTCATTTATGCAAAGTTCAAAGATCTTGGGTAACAAACCCCCCCAGGGGACGTTAACACCTGCATATTCAGGAAAATAGCAAAAAGCCTGCCAATTAATTGTAGTTTGCACTTGGGCCCCGCTTGATGGTTTCCAGCTTGTTGGATTTGAACTCAACTGAACTTTTCCGAGAACACAAAAAACGAGTGCGAGAGAAAACCCTCTCTGAATGCCTCCCTCTTTTCCCCTCACCCACACAGTTATACAAACGCATTCCCACTCTCTCCCACTCACACATTTTAATGGATGCTTAAAATTAAAAAAATTAAAAACGCTAAATGGATGGACTTAAAGATACCCTTTCTTTTGAAGAAACTTTACGTTTTCGAGTTCATGGTAATTTTTTTAGAATTTTACTGATATTTTTTTGTATTTTCCTATATTTTGTTAGTTGACTGAGAATTGTATACAAAAAATATAAAAGAATATATATAGTTCGAATGTGAATAATAATGCATCTTTCAGTGTTCCAAAAATCTCATGAACACGAAAATACCTCAAAAGAGTATAATAACTTTCGCAACGTCGACGAAAACGTCACTCCAGGCATTTTTCGCTAACTGTAACTCAGGGGATGAGGCTGAGGCGCATCAGAAGGGGGAAGGGTATTTCCACTTGTAATCAAGATATCAGCCGTGGGCGACCTCACCGTGAAATGACACAAATCAGAAGGGAATGGGACGGTACGGTACGGAATGGAAAGTTTCCGCCCTACTGTGACTATGGAGACCTGTGCCCGGGGCGTGAAATTAGCTTACTAAAATTAATATAATCGAAAATTTACCATGAGATTTGGCCCGGAGGTCAAAATTTTCCCATTGAATGAGTTTTAATGCTATGAGAGTTTTGATTAGGTTTCCGGGTTACTGAAAATTGGTAACAACTGCAGCCACAGAACAAATATTTGGCCAGGAAAACCTGTCAGCGACAGAGCCACTTTCCCATTCAGTTCATAGGGATTCAGAGCTATTGCAACCAGTGGGGGCAGGGCGACACATACGATGTTTTTTGGACGTTTGTAACTGCGGCAATTAAAATGGGCTCCGCAACAAGGGCCATAAAGCGAACGAGGGACGCAGTCCCTCCTCCCAACCATCTCGTACATGAATTTCCTGTCTTGTTTTGTGCTGTCCGGGTGCTCTTCTGTCCGATTCTGCGTTCGTGTGTGTGTGTGTGTGATGGTCATAATTTATGGCTTACACCAAGGACATTCCACCGTTGTTCTGTGGGTTCTGTTTCTGTCGCGGGGCCTGCTGTGTCAACGTTGCTACTTTTTGGGTCCTGGTCGATACCAACAAGTTTTTAATACAAATTTAATAATTAATGCCATTATTTGTCGTGGTTTCGTGTGGAATTTACTAAAGCAAAGTTGTGTGGAATGTTACAAAAGTAACAAAAGGTATTTTTTTAAAGAGAAAATAGAATTTACATTATGTACACACATATGGAGCACATACATACATACCTATATATCGAGCATTTTCTAATAAAGTGTAAGCCTCGGATCAATGGGAGCCACATTGGCTATTGGAGTAGTGGAGAGGGAACGAACTCAACTCCGATTAGTGACTTTGAATTTTAATCCTAATTAATGGCTCTGTGTTCACATAAACATTTTCCAAATCAATAAATATAAGCACCCCCAACAGCAGTGGTGCTCAACCTTAAGCTTAAGCTTCATGAATTTATGACCCTGTGAATCCTTGCCAAATGCTTAACCGAGCCAAATCCTGGTTACACAATTACAATTAGAAATGCAACAGCAACATGAAAGCCGCAAAAGGAGAGGCTGAATTACGAAGAGGATCAGGACCAGCAGCAATAGCAGGATTAAGAGGGAAAACAGGAGGAAAAGAAAAAAATAGAGAATTATAATGATTTGACACTGATGTTCTGTTCTTTTGGCGCAAATTGCAATTCTCCGGCAATCAAACTGGCAGCAGCAACAGCAAGAAGAGGATGAGCCGCAACTGCCATTGGATGCCCCACAAAAAGGGGGGCCATGGGTTGCAAGGGGTTAAATGTGGCGCTTGAGCACTGACAAAACATGTTTCCGTCGCAGTCAGACAGCTGCATTGGCATCAGTAGCAGTGGCAGGAGTCGCAGAGGAAAAAGGAAATGAGTAGGAAAAAAGTGTTGTACTTCCCGCCAAGCGCACACAGCCAGACAGGTCCCCCTACCTCCCACACTGCCTCCCATTTCCCCAGAGGCCGTTGCAATGAATTGCAAGCAATGAAAATGTAAAGTACACAAAACTTGTGACGATGATGAGCAAAATCTGTGCAAGGATGCTCGGGCGTACACAGGACAACTGTTGTGACAATTGAACTTTTGTAGTCCCAAGTCCTGGAGGGGATCTGTGCGAGAGATGTCGCACAGGATGGGTCTCGTTTGAGAGATGGAACTCTGTCTCCTGCTGGGGTCTGGCGAAATATATAGCCCTGTCCCCTGGAGGTGACTGTGCAACTAAAATGGTTCTGAATCGCAAATGGGGTTTCGGGTGTTTTTTGGTGGGAATGGACCCTAGATTGGTTTGTCCTGCATAATGACTGTGCCATTTATTTGCGTAAACTTTTTGGCGCATCCCCTTTAGGGTTCCCTCTGCTAATTTGACCTCGAGTGTAGCCATTCTGCCATCCCGTTGCTGGATGCCTGCCAGCTGACATTTGCATGGCAATCATCTCCACATCGTTTTCGAAACAGTGTGCAAATGTGCAACCAGATGGATGCAACGTGGAAGGACCATTGGCTGTTAAACTGAGGCGAGGATCCCATTATGCAACACACATTGGCCGAATACAGTGGTAGAAGAAGAAGGAAGACAAGGATGCTGTTGCACTCGGAATAGTTATTATTATTTCGTTTTATGTGGTTCCGCTCTTTCAAGGATTTACGGTAGTGTGTGGCCCCTCACTGTGCTCCATTTAAAATTTCCTACTTTTTTCTTAAGAACGCCGTTTTTTCTGGGGGCATGTCGAGGTTGAGCCTTGAAAAAGAGAGTGTGGGTAGAACTCCAATGGAATTTTTGTTTCGTTAAACATCTGTAAAATCGATGCAAAAATAGTCTTTTATAAGATTTCCTTCAATTGCCACAGCTTCAGCATTAACTTCAGCTTTATTTTCTCATTTTAAATATTCGTTAGAATAGTCAATGTCAAAAAACGAATTTAATATTCTACTTAGGACACCCCCAGGTATGCTTGAGTTCAACAGGATTACTCCCTTCATATTCTGGCACTTTAGAGGGTAAGACATACTTATTCCGTTTGCCCTCGCAGTTGGCAAATCTCACGGATTCCCATTTCATTGAGGGCGTAATTTGAGTTCTTTTGTGCCACAGTTTCCATGCTACAAATTTCTACACACACACATTATTTTCTCTTGCAGTTTTCTCGCTTTTCTGGTCGCCGTTTTCATTTGTCGTTTTATTTTATATTTTTTGTGGCTTTTCTTTTTTCTTTCATTTGGCGACATTTCAAATTCAGTGAGTGTCATGCCCGTGCATTGACATGGCCACAAATGTGCGTCCGTCCGCTCTCTCTTTCTCTCTCTCTCTCTCCAGAGTGTGTGTGTGGATCTCTTTCTCTCTTTGTGTGTTCACGTGTGTGGGTTTATGTCAGAGACCATAACAAACAGTGCACTGAGGGAAAAATCAGTGGCTAAAAATCCGAATGTCATATGAAAAATTTTGGAAATCTCCAAAAGTTTGCTTTGAAGAAACATTCATGTGTATGTAGATCTTGCAATAAGATTCAAATGAATAGAAGAGAAATGGGTTTAAGATGAATATAGAATAGTTTGAAGATAGATGGAAGAACATTTGAAGATCGATGGAAGATACCAGTCTGAAGATTGATGAAAAGCTATTAGAAAATGGTCTCTAAATTATATTTTTAAAATAAATTTTTTTATTTAAATGATTTTTCCAAGATTGATGGAAAATGGTGGAAAATGGAAGATGAAATATTGATTTTAGATAGAGAAATCTTTTTATACGTGAGACTCGAGCTTTCTACCCCTAGTTTTCACCGTGTGCAAAACAGTTTATTGTTGATTGTTATTTGGGTTGCATTCGTAGGCTGTTACCAGATTTAAATTTACTCTGCTGCGTTCCATGAGAGTGAAGCGGCCGTTGCCGTCTCAGTCGTCAGTTAACGAGATGGGCGTGGTGTCGCCCCCATGGAATATATGTACAATATATACAATCTGTTCAGTCATTCATGGCATACTTTATCAACATTGGGGAGCATAACCACCCATAACAGACCCTCCCCCCCCATCCCATGTCCGTAGCTCTGTATCCATGCCATTGCACGAGGAGGAGGTTATTGTTATGGTCGCCCATTGCCGGTACGGACCGAGCTGTTGTTCCCTGCTGTTCCCACCTCAGTGCGCTGCCACAGTGCGCTCCAAAATTCTGCTCATCGTCGTCATAATGTGGGCAATCTGGTCTATTTTTAGTGCCTGTTCGGTCAGGAGGAGCTGTGGCTATGGCAGTGGGAAACCAAACATTGCAACATCATTCCATGCATATAGATATACAAAGAGACAGAGATAGAGATGTCCGCAACAGCTGTTGCTGCCACTGCCTAATGCCACCCCACTTTCAGTTCATTTGAACGGGATCTCCCTGCGTTTAATCCATCCGCAGATACATTGTGAAATTTTCTATTAGATATCAGGATGGGGGCATAGGCCTGTTCCCGGACCCGGTGTCTGGTCTGGCGCCATACTATGTGAAGTGCCTCTTTGGCTGTGCCTCTTCTGTTTGGCCTCTTCTGAACTGTGTTAATATTTGCTCGACTTAATTAAAAATCTTTTCTAATTTGCATAAAGTTTATGCCGTCATTTGTTTTGTGGCCTGTTGCCCCGTCTATGCCGTCACTTCACATGGATGGCGAGGTACACTGTGAGCAATTGGTGGGGTATTTATGAAAATGTAGAGAATGAAGGACACAAGATTATATTTATGGAGCGAAAATATTCACGTAATTTAACCTCAAAGTGAAGATAAACATATTGTACCATATAGAATGAAATTATGTTTACCTAATTTCGAGCAGGACGTCTCTTGGGATCCCAAATAGAATAGAGATCGCAGGTTAATTCAATAATACAATCTTTCAAATTTGATGTCTTGCCTTCTGCATTTCAACAATATTTTCCATTGTAGTGCTTTTCTTTTCTCTGAGATGTAAATGTTGATTAAATGAAAGGTTGACTAACAAGTGTTGAAACTCTTAAAAATTTCTAATTCAAACAAAGTGTCCAATGGAATTTGAAGATCTCTTTTAAATTATTTAAAAGTTACACAATCTGCAGAATAATAAAGCGAAAAAAAAATCATAAAAATAAGTAAAAGTAACAAGAAAGTGTTGAGATCTTAATGTCATTTGTTCTTTGTATCGTATATACCGTCTCGAAGAATATGTTCATATAAGGATCTCTTTTATATGGATAAAACATTCTGTTACATTTGAAAGAAATGCTTTTTAAATCCGCCCTCATTTCAGATTCTTTGTTTGTTGATTATCTCTCACCTGCCCCCTCCGTTCTCCCAACTCTTTCCCTTCCAGTCTTCTCTCTATTTTCCCTCTTAACTTAAGAGGCGCCTTGCAATTCGGTTGCATGAACGAACGTGCGACAGCTTTTAGGCAGCTGAAATTCCATCCGACTCTTGCCTTGGCCTTTTGTTTTCTTTCTCCTTTAGGTTTGCCGTCTTTACAACTATAGCACCCCCTTAGTCCCCCTTACTTCCGCGTCGTATTACACTAATTAACGAAATGCACTTAGCTTAAAGCAACCAGCCGCCTGAGTGGCTAGAGAGGGCGAGAGGCGGTCGATTGTGGGTGTGTACGATTGTCAAATTGAGATTGCAAAAAAAAACAAGAGGAAAAGCTTTGGTTGACGTCGCCCAGAGCCGTCAACGATAATTATACGGCCACAGTAAAAACTAAGAGAAATGAAGCAGAGTTGGCCAACAAGACGCGGCTTATCAACGGGTTAAGGATAGACACGACTGGCGTCATTTGTGTGCCTCTGCCGCCTGCTAATTACACAGCATTTAAAACGGCGGACAGAGAGAACCCGAAAGAAAAGCCCAAACTAAACTTTTTACTGGTCCTTAACGCAGTTTTCTCTATCCTCGCTCTCCTTTTCGTGGTCACTCCTCGTTGGGCAATGTGGTTGCTTCTCTGTGATTCCCACTTTCTGGCCTCCTCTTTGGCTCTGAGGTCGGTCTGCAAAAGTCCCACTCATGATTTCTGGCCGCGTTTGGATGATGAAACTTGTGAAGCACGTACTCGAAATGTGCCCATAGAAAACTGGTAGACTGGCGACTGGCAGACGGGGTTTGAGATTTCAATTAAAGCCGCCATAAGGATTATACACCCCCAAAACACGGTAGGAGCACACCCAGAGTCCACCCACTCCCTGACCATATGGACATGCCGCATGCCAACAATCAGCAGCGTCTCCTGCGCCCAGTTAAGGGCTTGGCCTGGCCACATAAACACTATGTATACTGCTCGTATATTCGTACCTATGTACATATTTACCTTGTTGGACAACTGACGGGCATGGCCCTCGTCGTCCTGGGTACTGGGTGTGCCCCCGTTAACATTTATGTGCTTCCGAGCGTCATTAATGCGCTTACCGACACTCTGCCTCTGCCACTGCCACTGCCCAGGCACGCAATTATCGAAAATCCAATATATACGGACGACTGAGTCCAGGGAATCCCAGAGAGCAGCTAGCTGCTGCATCTGCATCTGGGAGATATGCAGTGCACTGCAGTGGGAGGTAAATAAAACTCGAAGATGTTTAAGGACATATTTTTCAATCAGCAAAATGCCGAATATACTCTTTCCTTTAGGGTTTATCAGATATAATAAAGATAGATGGGATTTTAGTGGGTTGGAATAGATATATATTTTTTAGAAATATTTAATTAATGTTTGAATATTAAAATAGAATTATATCTTCGAATATGCGTACCCATGAGTTCTCTTTCAATGCTTATATACCCAAGAGATAAAAGCGTATTGGAGCTGGGGAATTTAATGAAAAATGAAGCCAAGTGAAAGGCAGTGAGCCACAGCAAAGGTCCCTAGTGGTAAACGCCTCTCCTCGAAACAACCCAAACGAGCCACACCCTTTCGAACATCCATTCCCTCCAGTAACTTACACATGCAAATTACTGCAATAAAAATCCAATGGCTGGGGCTGCTGGAGGGAAACTTTTATGATTACTATCGTGGTGTGGCATTAGCCACATTTTTACGCCGCCCCATCTGACACCTCACTCATCGTCCGTTCTGTTGTAATCCATTGCAGGCCCTAACAAAGTTCCAGAGCTCACAGAAGGTCACCAACAAGACGGGCATCGAGCAGGAGGATGCACTGCTCAATGAGTCCGCGGCCAGGGAAACCTCGCTCAATCTGCAAATCTTTGACCTGGAGAACGACACAAAACAGCTGCGCCATGAGCTGGAGCGAGTGCGAAACGAGCGCGATCGCATGCTGCAGGAGAACTCGGACTTTGGTCGTGACAAGAGTGACAACGAGGCAGAACGACTGCGTCTCAAGTCCGAGTTAAAGGATCTAAAGTTTCGGGAGACGCGTATGCTCAGTGAGTACTCTGAGCTGGAAGAGGAGAACATATCGCTGCAGAAGCAAGTCTCCAATCTGCGTAGCTCTCAGGTGAGTTCCTCAAATAGACATGATATAGGAAGATGTAATTAATAATTGATTTGTGTTTCCTTTTAGGTGGAGTTTGAAGGGGCCAAACATGAGATTCGTCGTCTCACCGAGGAGGTTGAGCTGCTAAATCAACAGGTGGATGAGCTGGCGAATCTCAAGAAGATTGCCGAAAAGCAAATGGAGGAGGCTCTGGAGGCATTGCAGGTGCAGCATTTGAATGACTAAATGTATCCATAAATACTGATCCACTACCATTCTGCATTAGGGGGAACGGGAGGCAAAGTATGCGCTGAAGAAGGAGCTGGATGGCCATTTGAATCGCGAGTCCATGTATCACATCAGCAATCTGGCCTACAGCATACGCAACAATATGGAGGACAATGTCAGCCAGAATTCGGATGGCGAGGAGGAGAATCTAGCACTGAAACGCCTGGAGGCTGACCTGAGCACCGAACTGAAATCTCCCGATGGCACCAAATGCGATCTCTTCTCCGAAATCCATCTGAATGAGCTGAAGAAGCTCGAAAAACAGCTGGAGAGCATGGAGAACGAGAAGACTCATCTGACGGCCAATCTGCGGGAGGCTCAAACGAGTCTGGACAAGTCACAAAACGAGTTGCAGAACTTCATGTCCCGCCTGGCACTATTGGCCGCCCATGTGGATGCTTTGGTTCAGCTGAAGAAGCAGATCGATGTCAAGGACCAGACGGCTGCGCAGGACCAGAAGGATGAACTGCAGCAGCAGCTGCGGGCAATCATCTCGCAGTACGCCAACTGGTTCACGCTCTCCGCCAAGGAGATCGATGGCCTCAAGACTGACATTTCCGAGCTTCAAAAGGGCCTCAACTACACAGATGCCACCACCACGTTGCGCAATGAGGTGACAAATCTGAAGAACAAGCTCCTAGCCACCGAGCAAAAGTCCCTGGATCTGCAGAGCGATGTGAAGACCCTCACGCACATCTCCCAGAATGCCGGCCAGAGCCTGGGCTCGGCTCGCAGCACTCTGGTGGCCCTCAGCGATGATCTGGCTCAGCTTTATCATCTGGTCTGCACTGTCAATGGGGACACTCCCACACGTGTACTACTGGATCATAAGAGCGATGATATGAGGTTAGATTGAGATAAAAGAATATTGTTTATTAGAGCTTTTTGTAATCGGTGCAATATTATTCTCATTGTAGCTTTGAGAACGATTCGCTTACTGCCATCCAGTCACAGTTCAAGTCCGATGTGTTTATTGCTCGTCCACAAATCGTTGAGGATCTCCAGGGTTTGGCCGATTCGGTGGAGATCAAGAAGTATGTGGACACGGTCAGCGATCAGATCAAGCATTTGAAGACAGCTGTGGAGCATACCATCGATTTGAACAAACACAAAGTTCGCTCCGAGAGTGGAGATGGTACGTGGATCTCCCAATTGTATAAAAGCATTCATTTATAAGTATTGTCATCTATTATAGCTGTGGAAAAGGGCAACACCGAGGAAATGGAAGAGTTGCAGGAGCAAATAGTCAAGCTCAAGAGTTTGCTGTCGGTGAAACGAGAACAAATCGGAACCCTTCGTAATGTGCTCAAGTCAAACAAACAAACCGCCGAGGTGGCTCTTACCAATCTCAAGTCCAAGTACGAGAACGAAAAGATTATTGTCAGCGACACCATGTCCAAGCTGCGTAACGAGCTCCGTTTGCTCAAAGAAGATGCAGCCACCTTCTCCAGTAATTATCCAACGATAAGTTGTTGCATTTTATCTAATTAATAATTAATTAATTAATTTCTCAGGTCTGCGTGCCATGTTTGCTGCACGCTGTGAGGAGTATGTCACTCAAGTGGATGATCTCAATCGCCAGCTAGAGGCTGCCGAGGAGGAGAAGAAGACACTCAATCAGCTGCTGCGTTTGGCTGTCCAGCAGAAGCTGGCCCTTACCCAGCGTCTGGAGGAGATGGAAATGGATCGGTGGGTGCATTTGGGTCGCTAAAAGTCAGCCATAAATCCCCTACACATATCTGTCACTGTCACATAAAGTTCTGTTATGTTCTTCCTTGTATCCCTCCCAATTCCCGAGACTCCAGCATTCGGTAAGCATTTGCAAATTGCAACAAATAGGCTTTGCATGTCTGCCGCCTGCCTGCCTGCTAACCCGCTGCTGGAATCCGCCTAATCCCAAAAACAGCCCCGCTGTGCGCTGATTAAACAGTAGAATCATCAACATTTTAAGTGTTGAAACAATGAAAGTTATAAACAACCATTAGAACCACACAAGAATAACACATTTCTTTCGTTTCCTTCCCCCTCAAACAGCGAAATGCGTCATGTGCGTCGTCCGATGCCACAGCAGAGTGCCACACGCGGCAAGTCCTCGTTCAGTACACGTCCATCGAGCAGGAATCCAGCGAGCAGTAATGCAAATCCCTTCTAACATAAAATCAGCGTGCAGCGTAAACTTTTGGCTTTAGTTTATACTTTGCTTAAGTTGTAAGTTTGTTGGAGTTCCTTCAGACAGAGAGAGAGATTTATAAAGAGATCAGCCCTGCAGCAATACACAAAACTTACTGCAGATTGTGAACGATTTGAGAACCAAGCTATAACTATTCTCCATCTAACTACTATAACTATATATTTGTTTGTATTGTATTTGTATTTATTGAAAGTTTAGTTAGAATGAAAGTTTTGTGTTAGACAAGATCGAAAGGAAGCCGGAAGCAGTAAATGGTTATTAACGGTTAGTTACTTAAACGTCCAATTAATTTAATTAAGACGAAACAAAAAGTGTGAGGTAAACGAGAAGATAAAACGTAACGAATTGTATTTTTCTAAATGCGAATCACATGTACTATATGTATTCGATAGCGTCCTAGTTTCATATCAATTTGATTTTTGTTAAGTTTCGCGTTGAATTTTGAATTTTTGTTATCAACGCTGTGCGCAAGCAAGGAAAAGTAAAACAAAACGAGAGAAATTGATAAAAAATATTGTTGTTGAACAAACGAAATTGGTATTGGCAATTGTGGAATCATGTATTAATTGGCCTGCCCTGCCCGATAACCAAGAGTATTTTCACACGGGTTTACAGTCGTACCCCCTAAAAATGTACGTAACATGAACAAGAGGAGACCCTTCCTCCTCGCCGAAATGTATATTATTGTTTGTGTTTGCAAGCCATTGTATACCAACAATGTAGCAAACAGGCTACAAAGTCTCAAAGACGATTCTGAAGATGATTATTTGTATTTATAGAGCGCCACTGGGGCCTCGCCAAAATGATGAAGTTGTAGGAAATTAATTATTGTTTGCAATGGAGAAAAAAACCTAGTTTTTTTTGTGGTTCACAGTTAGCATTAATTGCAAAAATTATGTATGTATGATTTGTGCATTATTATTTAATTTAATTAATAAATTGCAAACACACAAAAATATCAAGCAAGTAAATAAGAAATTTGTTTTCATTTTGAATGAGTTTTTTTTTGTTTTTTGTTGCTGTAGGATAATGTAGGATTTCTTGTGCCACAGTATCTGATGAAACCATTAGAATAACCTTTTATCTTATATTATTTCAGCAGCAACAAGCTCTTATGGCCTTAATATATGTAATACTATATGGTTTAACACACACAAAATAAATAACTATGGTGATTACCAAGCAGCTTAACCAACATACAAAATAGCAAGACAAAGAGTTAAAGTTTAAATAAATATTATTATCGTAGCTAATTAAACACGAAAGTAGTGTCCAACAACCAGAGCACATTATGTAGTAGCAGTCCCTTTACCCTCCAAGAGATGGAAACTTAAAAATTAGCTGCTTCTTTTTGGGTTAACGACATTTCGTTTTCGTTATCAATCGGAAGAGATGAGATTCTACATGAAATTTATATATACAGGATCGTATATTGTGTAAATTACCGAGCCATTAAATTGAATTTATATTTAAAGTACACAAACTACACTGAAAACACACTCAGTTACACACACACACGAACACGCATACACACAACGTCCATTCATGCATTCACAGATAAAAACTCCTCGGAGTTGCCTATGAACAAATTATTTATGAAAAGAAAACCGAACTCAAACCAATTGTAAATATACATATTTATATACATACATATGAAATTTAGTAGAGATATCGAGCCAGAAACAAAAACAAAAACAAAGCAAAACAAACAGAAGATACATTCATATTTAAATATAATGATTTTATTGTAATTTTTACCGTCCCTTTTTGCGAACGAACTAAAAATACAAAGTCTATTTATGCAAAACCAATCACTGAACCAATAACGAACAAAAAATGCAACTTTCAGTTCATCAGAGATCTTATATTAAGCTACTCAAATACCATAAAACTACGTGCATAAATACATACATCGATTGATCGTTCATCCAACCAGCCAAAATATTGATAGCCTATATGGATATTACATTAAAATAACACATAAATACATATGACATAAAGATATTTCAATTGCGAGTAGCGACCATGAATGATAGCCGCCGCCAAAGAGAGTGGTATTGGTGGCGTCACAAAAAGCAAATAGTTTTCTATTTCCCCAAAACCAAAACACACAGAATGTAAGAGTAAAGCAATTGAATTTAAGATTTGAAGGATATTAATGTAAGTTTTACGATAAATTTCCGGCAAATTGCAATAACTTTGCATGTGGTAACTATGGACATATGAAAAATGCAAACGAATGTGCAAGGATAAACGGAGAGATGAGCATTAATTATACAAAATACTTATTACAAGATATGTGAAAATAAAGAAATTAGCAAATATATTCGAGGGTTTTATTGGGAAGTGGGTATTACCAACTTTAGTTGGCAATTAATATTTAGGTACTTGTATTCATGCCGGAGTTTAACAGTAGTTTTGATAGATTTACGAGTATGTTTGTATGTTGCTTGGCAGTTATTAATGCGATACCTGAATGTCTTTATGTAAAAGTCGTCGAGTGGAATAATTAAATTAATTTGTGAATCTTTAAAAAGTGGTTGGTGCAAAGAATTTGAAAGGATTTATGATAAGTATCCTTGTGAATAGAGAATACATTTAAATATCTGTAATCTCCACGATTTTTGTATATTTTTCTTATCGGTATTTTAACCCTACGTGAAACTTGTGCGATGATTGAATATTTAGTGCAAATAAAGAAATGCGCTTTTAAGATTTGGTGGGAGTTATGAGTGTTGCTTAAGAATAAATGGAAAACATATATTGCTACGTATCACCAGGGACTAGCATGTTTTGGTACGTTTCGGAACTATTACAATTCTGTAATCACGTCGATTTTGAATGTCACTCATTATCGGTCTTGTACAATCGAAATTCCCTTTGCGAAATTAGTAAAAAGAAAATATTTTCCAAGCTTTTTTAAATAAATGCTTTGTAAGTTTGATAGCACGGTTGTTAGGAAATATTTTAAAATTTATTTTACCAATGATTTAGTTAAAACGGCTCTTGTCTGAATCATCGCTCAATTCACTTCACAGCACCGATACCGATTCTTACCAAATTTCGAGTCACGAGGCCAAGAAAACTACCGATATTTCAGCCAGGCAAACAGAAATGCATAGATGAACGACCTTGGCCCTATCGAGCAGACGACAACAAATTCGATACTCGTGCATTAAAGCATACGAGCGATAAACATTTGCATTGGGGGTAAGAAAAACAAATATGCAATACACAGAAATGATATAAACGTATGGTATGTACATACATGCTCATACATTTTTGAATCTGAATAGATGGAGAATAATAATGCATAGAAATCGCAGACATAGCTCACACACATTACATATGTAGTTATGCATGTAAATATGTATGTATAAATATACAAAGGAGATTAACTATTTCTCGAAAATATATTATCTGATATGAAACAAATGACGTTGATTCTAAGTGAATTGAAGTGAAGTGAAAACACACATTGGGTTTCCAAGATACCATTTACAGGCGTAAAGAAAGTGTATCTATGTACATATACGAAGAATATCAAAATAATCACAATATTTACACAATTATTATTATTATTATTCGATATTGCAATAATTTACCAAATTGCATCAATCCGTAAATTTTAAATGAAGTAACGAAAAATCTTACGATCATCACAAAAAACACAAAATGTTGTCACAATTCCTTCCTTTTTATTCAATCTCGTGCTTCTGGCTGTTAAGAAAATGCCTTAAAAACAGAGTTTCCCATGGGTTTTCCACCATAAATCTTGCAATGATATCTAACAGGTGCATAGTACTATCAGTTTTACATTCAAATGGCCAAAAATGATGATCGAGGAGTGCAACATCATGTACTTTATCGATACCGATTCCAATCAATGGCGATGTCACGCGGCCAGCAAAACTACCGATATTTCAGCCCGGCCAACAGAAACCAGCAGACGGACGACGCGTGCTCTATCGAATCCAGATGAAAACGAAAACACCAAACTCACATATACACAACAAGCACACAGCTGAACAAACTCACACACACTGTGGCAGTCTGAAAATTCAAGCCCGTACGTGACGTTTCCAAATGGGATGCGATGCGGATGGATGCGGGCGTTGTGCCGGGTTTCTGCTTCTGCTTCTTTTATTCGTCGCCGCTTCGGTTGGTGGGTTTATACAGTTTATTGGTCGACCAGTGCCTGCATGCGGGAGTTCGAAAAATTTGTGTTGGTCGAATGGCACAAACCGAATACCAGGCGCACAGCAACATGCAGATGGTGGTTGCCCTCACATAGTTGGATGGCGGCTCTTATTGGCTGCCGTCACAGCTGCGATTGTTATACTGGGTAATTTAATAGGACAAGGGTGTATGCGTGGTGGATTATTTGCGGCGTCATGGAGGGTGTGTTTTCTATTCCATTCATACTTTTAATTTTGAAAACAGCTAGAATGTAAAAAAGAAGACTCTAATTTGTTTCCAACTTTAAAATATCCAACTCCATCTTAATAATTGCTAATTACACCGTGTGCCGTGACCACCAGGTAATCTCTTTGTCGGGACAACGAACTATTTCTCTTCCCTCTTGCTTTTAAATGATAGCGCGTCAAGGCTGGCGTCAGCTGTTTACTGTGACTGGTGCGACGGGCAGACCAACCAGAAATGCTTTAAAGAGGGATAAAACCATTACTGGCCAAAGTGGCCCAACACTACGGGACAGGGACCAATAAGTTATATTAAACAAATGGAAGAGAGGGGGGAGGAAACAGTTCTTGAACTGCAAACGAAGTGATCAAGTTTGCGCTGCAAGAACATGCACAGGGCCAAGGAACAGGTTTATGTTGCAAACAGTCGCCTATACAAATAAATGTGTATACAATGTAGCATGGTCCTTTCCTTTCAATGGCCCCCCAATTATGTGGGTGGAGTTCGAATATCATGTCGCATTGGCCATTGTTTTTGGCCATTGCATTCGATGATAGGTCCCGAGCCTATTGGAAATCACAATTGTAATTGGGCCTGATTGGTGTCTGATTGAGCTTTTCCCGGTGCTTGGGAGTGGGCGGCCTGGGCCTGGGCTTGTGCTGTGCTTCCTAACCCACAATTTGCTCAACAGGTGAGCAGTCTTTTGGGGCAGAGGTACGTAAGTGTTTGGCGTTAGAAAAATGCGGCAAGCAGCAAAATTTCTCGCACAGTTCTTGCACCACACAAACACACACTAATGCACACTGGCAAACACACACGATTTGCTCGACGGTTGCGACTTTTTCCGCCTCAAATTTGTGTAGTGCGATTTGTTGTATCGCGCGTCATTTAACAGGCGCGCAGCGGTTTCAGCAAGCCATTTTCAGACATTTTGGTCGCCACAGTGAGTGAGATGTCCATATTGTTGTACATATTTTAAATATATGTAGAGCGGTGCGTTAGAGCGGGATAACGATAGTGATGGTGCAGCTTTGGTGGGTTTGCGTCTTTGCTAAGCAGAAAGCT